AGATGCAATAATCACGGTGCCGTTATGCGCGCCAAGCCAGCAATGCGGCAATACGCTCGGTTTCGGCGCAGGAGCAACGCAGTATGGCGTACCGTTATGTGCTTCAGACTCAGGTGCTGTGCAGTGAATAATCGATGGCTTGGATAGTTTTCATTTTTTATGTGCTTCTTCTTCTGCTTTTGTTTTGGAAATCATAGCGCTTGATGCTTGATGTGCCGCCTGTTGATTGATTGATTGACTGACTGATTGATTGATTGTGAGTGCTGCATTTGAATGAAAATATTTTCGTAACCAAAAATTGCTTTGCTCTGATTTTAGACGTTCAATGAAGCCGCTTTGGCTTTGAAGAAAAGCCGCCTACAACACTGAGAGGCGACGGCAGCGACACTTTGGCGCGTGCGACAAAGGCGACAATGTAATTACAATTACAATTACATGCATTGATTGCCGTTAAGACACACACAAAGACACATATRCATACCTATGCTTACATATTACTGCTCCACTCGCCAGCAATTTACATACTTATGCACATTCCGATATAATTAGCACCCCACAAGCGTCTGCATRGTTTTCTTTTTTTGGCTTCTCTTCATTCTCGCGCAATCAGCGTTATCTCGATAATTGCTTCAATAAGAAAAATTGATTTTTCGTTTGCTGCTGCTCTTTGGCATGACACACCTTTGTGACGCTTCGGTTTGTCCTTCAACTGTAATTGCAATGCTTTTGCAAGTCCCAACACTCAACGCTCTACGCAAATCGAATAAATCGTTGCCAATTCGATTTCAGCGCTTATTGACTGATGGAGAGCAAGAGCTTATATGAGTGATGCCACAGAATGCCATTTGGCCTTGGCGAAATCGGAACTYTTTCATTACTAAAAGAATGCAGTGACAATTTTTAAGTTTATATACACATGTATATACGTGTGTATGTATACTATGGTGATTCAGTTATAAAATTCATAAGAAGAAAAAAAAATTCCCAAAAATAATGAAACTTTAATCGTTAATATCTTTTAAACGGTTGGGTTTACGAAAAAATCGTAAGAGACCCTTTTTGTAGAGCACTCAATTTTCTACCAAATATAAGGAACAAAATATCTTTTCAATGAGCTGGAAGCGAGATATAAGTTTTTCTATCTGATAATAAGAAAAAATAGAAAACTGTAAGTAGGGGGACCTTCCCGTTACAATTAAAAACTCATTCTTGGAGAGGCTACCCTAGAGGTATCTAGGTAACGTACTTTTCAGAGTACCAAACGAAAAAAAAAAATTTTTTTTTTGAATCACCCTAATGTATACATATAGATGTATGTACGTACTACAATTCAATAAATTTCATTTCTGTTATTGGAGAACGAATAAATTTTCTTAAAGGCCTGCAATAGCGAGAGAGTGCAGATAGAGTGGTCAAACCCCAACCTCATATATACATATGTACATATGCATGCACAAACATACATACATATACAAATGTATGTAGGTTAACAGCTCAAATCATACTGCAGATATATCGAAGCAATATTTTCTACAGAAATGTACGCAGATTACTTTTCAAACTGAGAATATAAGCGAGAAATACATGCAGCTCCTATTTACAATCGAATTTTACCTTCTAGAATATAGCAATATTATAAGCTGCAAAAAAATTTCTAATTTAATTATTTTGTTATATTTTGAAGAATATTTTAGCGATTTACATTTGCTAAATCCCGAAAAATTTCGGGRTCCCGAAATCAATATTWCAAAATCCCGAAATGCATATMACTTTTTTTATCAATAAGAATATTCTATAAAAAAAATGTTCGATGATTAATTCTTAAACTTACAAATCAATGGCTAAATACTTGCACCTCCTTTTTTACCACCGTGCTACATCGTTTAGGATATGGTAATATTATTACAAAAAAAAAATTAAAATTATTTTTGGATATTTTGAAAAAGGTTTTATCAGTTTGCATTTGCTCATTCTAAATCCCGAATATTTTCGAGATTGCGAAATAAATATGTACTTTAAAATCCCGAAAAGCATATAATTCTTAGAATCAATAATGTTAACATTTGTTTCAAATAAACCAATATGTTGAAGAATATTTTAGCAACTCTCGAAAAATTTCGGGATCCCGAAATCAATTTTGCAAAATCCCGAAATTCAATTCATGTTTTATGAATGAGAATTTCTTTTAAATAAAAAATAGCTATTTTGTGAAACATAACGCCRACAATTAATTTTAGGAAAACACAATATGCGGTATTCATTCGAGGGAGGCTTATTTTACTCTCCCTTCACTACATACAAAAATATRGAATAAATTAACACAAAAGAATTTCTAAGTCATGTAAAAATATATAATTTATCACTTCTGGAACATTTTTTTACCTCATATTGGTCTTTATAATAGAATTTGTAAATGAAATCATACAGGTCATCTCCACCGCTATTTCAATGAACACAGCTGTACGTACTTTAGTATTATATATAGCATAAAAACATTAAGCGTTTTGGGTGTAAAGTATTGCTGAATGATTTAGAAATATCGGCTTTTATTATATATTTTAACAACTTTCACATTTTAAGTTTCGTCAGCCCGAAATCAATTTTGCTAAATCATTCAACCTTTTATGAACAAGAATATTACTTTGTTTTAATTAAAACATAGTAATTTTGTGGAACATAATATCGACAATTAATCTTAGAAAACCCCCAAATTTCGAGGTAGGCTATTTGACTCTTTTATACAAGTAATATATAGTAAATACTACAACAAAAGAATTAAGCGTTTTGGGTTGCGTAAAGTATTACCGAATGATTAAGGAATCTCGGATTTTACCACGAATACGCACATATCCACTTTATGCCTGAATCAGGCTCTCATTTTTTCGAAACGCTGTAAGTTTCTGAATTTGAAGTGTTGAAGACAAGGTTCAGTATTTTAATTAATTTCGACAATTTTGAAATTCCGGGAGATTTGGGAGGATATGTTTCTCGGCGCTAAGAGGTTGAACATCTTACAAGATTCAAAAAACTCTCCTTTTAGGGGAATAAGGAAGGAAAATGGTCAATGGCAATATAAAAAATGTGCTGCCAATAATAGGCATATGACTGAAAGTTCAAAAAGAGAAATAGAGGAACTGTTAGAGGACAAAGGATTTACATATATGAAATCTACAGATCTATAATAAGCTGTGATAATTATATCCACTTTTTATGATTAAATAAAAAACATACCAATTAAATTTCATTAAATACAAAAAAATGCAAGCTTAGTTCACACAAGTGAACGAACTCTTTATGATTACTTTGAATTTT